TGCCACTGTCGGTAGACAGGATACTGGGCTAGATGGACCTTTGGTCTGACCCAGTACGGCCGTTCTTATGTTCTTATGATAAGATTATTGCCATGAGTAGGAACTATTCACAAAAGTATGAGTATGCTGGATTAAGTCCATAAATTGTATAACTACTACCAGAAAATAAGCCTTGCCCTAAAATTAGTAAATACAAAAATGTGTACCTCGTCATTGTGTTTTCATTTTTGCCAAGCAAGTGGCTAAATCCTGGAGACAGGTTCTCTCTTGGAGATCGTTTTGGACTGTATGTCACAGACACAGGTGCCAGCATTATCTCTCTTCTTGCTACATAGGACAAAAGATTTAAGTATCTAAATTTTTCCTATGTAAAGAGCTTTTCTTAATGTACTTTGATCCAGGATCCAAAGTCTTAAAGAATGATTTTCAAAGATCTTCATGAAGTATTCACCATTCAAATCCTATAAAGTATGTGACACACTCACAAATGACAGTAAGGTTACAGCTTTCACATATTCTGTATCTAATGTATGCAACATTTTTTTCAGAAAATTCATGATAAAAGGGTGAGAATCTTATCTTTTAAATGTCCTATCTTCAGCTGTTTATAGCACCACTTTCCGTTATTTAAATACATTTCATTTTGAAGTAACAACACAACACCTGTACACAAAAATGCTTACTTGGTGTGTTTGTCTTCCTGTTTGAAGGTGGGAGGGATGATGACCTCTGCCCACTAGGTGAGCTATATCTTTTTGGTCTTTGTTGATCTTTGCATTTCTCTGGAGACCGATGGGCACTGAAAGTGCTTTCATCAAATCCAACTGTATGACGTCGATTTGATGTCTCTGTAACAAAACAAACATATTCAAATTAAAATTTACATTTATATTACACAGTATATCAAGGATTCTCCTTCAGTCAGTGCCCATATAACCTACTGTACTCAAAACTGTAATTGTTCCATCTCAGCTGTTTCCCTATCAGTATGCTTGTGTTGTACTAACCAGTTATACATGCTTAAGTCCTGATCCCACTAGAAATTGAGCAGTATTTGAGATTCACTGAAGTAAGATGTTAACCTGACCTATGAGAAGAGCTGTTCTGAAGCACAAGTATAGTAGAGAAGATCTGAATTTACAATGAGGTTTAACAGGACAAATCTGAGCAAGTGAGAAATAGCACAGGCTTAATAGAAACATGAGACAGAAAGCATAAGTATCTTGAGAGACAGGGGACACAGGAGTTAGGACAGATCCTAAATTTTCAAACCTAGATGTATGAATTTAGGCTCCATATTTTTGGCTTCTGAGTAAAGCCTAATGTAAAGAGGTAATTAATACATACCACTCCAGCATCACTGCAGAAGAGATTAAGTCTGTTCAATCATACAGTACACACAAGATTTCATTGCAACATTTAGACATTACACTACAAAAATCACACGTGGGTACAAAGATCATAGGAATTTAGTTAAAACCCAGTGTATATAAATTTTAGCTAGACAAAAGGCACTGAAATAATTTAACTAACATGATATCACAGAGAAATTCTTGCATTTCTACTATTTTAAACAAGTCATTAAGCTTTACTTTTTCAGGTTTTGTTAGGAAACTCAAAGGCTCTTTGCAAAGCTACAAATTTTACTCTGTTACCTGAGCCAGACTAATTCCAATCCTTTGAAATAAAGGAAGGAAAAATAACAAAAAATATGAGATTTAGATTATACAAATCAAGATAAATCCAAGAATATAAATAAATTTACTAGTTGAAGTGTCTTCTTTTTCTGTCTGTGTTCCCCAACTTTTAAATGCTTTTCCTTCAAGTTCTTTAAGGGCTCTCATAATTGGTGTGTCCGGTGCTTCATTTTCTTTTTTTTCAATTACATATGTTGTAGTGTCTTCTTGTGAAGAGTCCTTTTCTGGAGGAGAATGGTCCCTTAAATAATATATGAAAGCAACATGAGGAACCAAAATTGCAGTATAAAGTAGACTATCCAAACATCAGCCGAGTTAGAGTTAATACTTTAGAGTTTGCTAGTACAAAGTATTGTGTCACCTTACAAAAATCAAAACGGAAATTCTTATAATATTCTTTATTTCATCCTAAAAAATCTGACATTTAAATATTAATTATAGGGAGAAAAGAGCTTCCAAATCCAAGCAATGGTGGAAATGAGTGAAGTTTGGTGAGCTAGAGCTATCCAAACATCAACTCTGTAAAATCTTAAAATGAAATATATGCTTACAGAACTGAGACATTTACAAGGAACAAGAGAAACTACTAAAAAGACAGAGTGCCATCTTCATCAAAACTGATGTCTGCAAAACCAGCAGAGTGGCCAACTACCATGCCTGTGCATTTCTGATAGAGAACTCCTTTGCTGAAGTGGAACTCATCAGAGGGTAGAAAGGCAATGGCAGTTTGTCCGTGAACAAGACATACCTATCAGGTCTCTTCAAGGTCCAAAAGACCTTTGAGTCCTAGGAAAGTCCCTGCTTGTTTCACAGTAGATTAGTTGGTTCCTTCAAAACATGCACAGCACTTTAAGCAATGGATAAATACTTTAGAACTTTGGTAAATAAATGCAAACATAAAACTGAAGAATAATCATTCTTAGAGAAAATTATTAAAATTATTTCTAAAATCAGAAATTGCACAGATATTTCTTAGATCACGACGGCTTTGATTCTCCACTATGTTAGAGTGGAGGATGGTGGTTACAGGAAGCTATATTACCTAGAAGGAATGTAGGTTTCCTCCAGTCTGTTATCCATATTGCATTCTTGATTTTCTAATGGTTGGCCTGTGAAGATTGAATACTCTGCTCCTGATATCAACCACTTCCGTCTATTTACATCAGAAGCTGTCAGCTTGCTATTGGAGTGAAAAGCATCAGGATTATTAAATGCTCAAAATTTTGGTTTTGAAATAAAAAAAAAACCTAATAATACTTATACTAGCCAATGAAAATACAAATCTTAAATTCCAACACACAATTACAAATTTGTAAATATTTGGAGAAAAAAAATGTACTTTTTCCCACAGATCTATACTGCTGTACAAAAACACTTGCTTTTCTCATGTAAAGTGCCAGATACCAAGTTAGCTTCTTCTCAAAAATTTTGAATGAATTTTACAAAACTAAGATACAATAGCACCTGAGGTGAATCTGCTGGTTTAAAGCCTACAACTCTTTTCTTTTGTTTCATCTTACCTATTTCTTAAAAAGAAAAAACACAACTAATAATACAGAGGAGTGATGAATAAAGAGGCCACCAACTATTTTAAACTGAAAAATTTCTGATTAGAAATACCAAAAAGTTATTTTATATATAGATTCACTAAAAAGGCACACAAAAATGAGACCAGTATATTATTCACATAATACCAAGAATAATAATTATATTTCTTTAAATCTATCCTGCTGGGTTTTTTTAATAGTATGATGCTCTAAGTTTGCTATCAGTTGCTAAGGCCTGATTTCATCCCCAGTTTAA